TGAAAACCAGATCTCCCCCACTGCAAACCAGATCTCTCCTATTGCAAACCAGATCTCTCCCACTGCAAACCAGATCTCTCCCACTGCAAACCAAATCTCTCTCATTGCAAACCAGATCTCTTTCACTGCAAACCAGATCTCTTTCACTGCAAACCAGATCTCTCCCACTACAAACCAGATCTCTCCCACTGCAAACCAGATCTCTCCCACTACAAACCAGATCTCTCCCACTACAAACCAGATCTAACCAGATCTCTCCCACTACAAACCAGATCTCTCCCACTACAAATCAGATCTCTCCCACTGCAAACCAGATCTCTCCCACTACAAACCAGATATCTCCTATTGCAAACCAGATCTCTCCCACTACAAACCAGATCTCTTCCACTGCAAACCAGATCTCTCCCACTGCAAAACAGATCTCTCCCACTGCAAAAGAGATCTCTCCCACTGCAAACCAAGATGATGAGAACAGACCCATATACACCTGGGACAGGTGTTCAGGAGTTTCCATTCCCAGGTGCACTGTGTCACTCACACCTCCCTGTGTGGCATCCCCTGAGTGTTGTACATTTCACTGACTTTAAAACCCAGGCTCCTGCTTGGTTCCTCACAGAAGATGGACAGATGGACAGCAAGGAACCATGAGAAAACATCATTTTCTGCATTATATTCTAACTGTGACACTGGATTAGCTTTAAAATAAAATATGATGAGCGGGGTGTGGCAGCACAGACCTTTAATCCCAGTACTTGGGAGACAGAAGCAAGCAGATCTCTGTGAGTTTGAGACCAGATGGGTTTATGTAGCAAGCTCCAGGCCAGCCAAGGCTTCAGACCCTGTCTCAAAAAAAAAAAAAGTGATTATTTAAAACCTGCCCCAGATCAATGTTGAATTATTCATCTGCCACTTGCGATTGGAGCCTTCTGGGAAGTGACCCAGCTTCTGGCTAATACAGAGCAGCCCTGGGGACCTCTCCAAGAAGCCTTGGTCAATTACCCTCATGGTCCTGCTCAGAGAACAACTCTTCTTTCAGAGTAAGGCCTGGGCGGGACCGAGCCGGGGCTCAGGGACAGGGACGTGGGGCGACTGTTGCTACAGCCAGGCCTTTCATCTCCGAATACACTGCCAGAGATTTGGAGCCTCCACTGACCCAGGAAAATCCTCGGGCCTCCATTGTTTGCATGCCTCCCTCTTACCCTTTTAATTCACTTCTCACCTCTTCCCTGAAATGACAGCCTATGTGTCCTCAAGCTCGAGCATTTCGCCAAGGTCCCCAGAGGGAGGAGAGGGAAGGGAAGGTGCCCATATTTGAGATGGATCCATGAAGCCTACCAAAAGGGACCCAAGACCAATTGATATGGCAGGACTGCCAGACCCCCAGCCCAGCCCCTCCCAGGATAAAACACACACACAGTCATGAATTTGCACACACACACACACACACACACACACACACACACACACACACACATACACTTTGCAGAACAGGGACGCACATTCCACCAGTGGATCCTGCCATTGCCCAGCTCATGAGAGCTCAGGTTGCCATTTGTCTTTAAAAGGCTACGTCCAGGCAGAAGATCTGACTTAGTTGTCAAAGCATTTTCCTTGTGCGTGTGAAGACCTGAGGTTAATCTCCAGAAAGAAAGACAGACAGACAAGTGTGGTAGTAAAGCACCTGTGATCCCAACACTTCAGAGGCAGAAGGCTGGAAGATCACAAGTTCAAGGCCAGCCTGATCTGCATGAGATCCTAGCTCAAGGCAAGAGAGAAGAGGGAGGGAGGGAGGAAGAGAGGGCTGAGAGACTCTGACTGAATAGCTGGTGCCTTGGAGACATGTGGTCCTAGGCTGCCTGGTTCCTACACAATCCATGCCTCATCAGCCCAAAGTCAGGAAGCAAGGGTACAGGGCAAGTGGGTCTTAGAACCTGGGACCAAGAAGAGAGGGAAAGGTCTCTATTGCAGTAAACTGCTCACAGACTCCCCTAAGACAGAGAGAGGTGGGGCAGGGCTAGCTACAAGACTTTAGGGCTGTGGTTCTCAACCTTTCTAATGCTACGACCCTTTAACACAGTTCCTCAGGTTGTGGTGACCCCCAAACACAAAATTATTTAATTCCTAATTCATAACCACAACTTTGCCACTGTTATGATTCATAATGTAAATATCTGGCATGTAGTATATCTAGTATGTGACCCTGTAGGGGTCACCACCCATAGGTTGAGAACTGCTCTAGGGGAAAGCAGGCCCAGGCTTCTCGGATGCTGCAGGCTGGATTTCTCCTCGTCATCACCCCTCACCTTCCAGCTACCCTAAGCTCCACGGTGGGACCAAGTACCCACAAGGGACATGGTGAGGCTTTCTTCTTGAAGTTGTATGTCTGATGGCAGACTGAAGCCACACTGGGTACGTGCAAGGCTTCAGCTCGGCAGCCACTACTTTAAGGAAGTTGAGGCCGGCTGAGAAGGAGCAAGAGGGTGAGGAGGAAAACATTAGAGAGCACATCCAGCGACAGCCACTCAAGATGCTGAGATGCAGAAACCAGGCAAGGAGCAGCCTGCAGAGGAGTTCAGGCATGTGTCCACACGTACACACACCTGCCTGTGTATGTGTGCCCGGTGCGCACACACATGCAGAGTGTCACACAGGTGTGATGTCCTCTGCAATGCTTAGTAACAACGATGAAGCGCAGACCTCCCCTTACCCACCACCAGTCACCATCACACAGAAACAGAGAGAAGAGAATCGGCAGGTGTCCACGGTTAAGGAACATGTGCTGGGGAAGTGGAAGCGTCATCCAGAACAAGCATATTTCTACATCCACATTCCGGAAGGGCCCGGATGCTCATATGTCTGGGAGAACATGCCTTTCCCACCAGGCTGGCCGCTAATTGCCTTCGACGGTTTTCTCCCAGAACGGTGGGCGCTCCTTCCAGGCAGAAGCCTGCGCAGGTCTGGCATTGACTTTCACCAGATTTTGTTATTACATTTGTCTCACAGCTTTAAGACAGTAGCAAATATGTGCAATTTATTTAAACAACACTGGGGAAATTAACGCCGTGCAAGCACTTCCTAAGCAAATGAAGATAAAGCCGGGTTTTTAAAACGGGTGTGTGAGAGGCTCTTGAGTTTCCAGTCTACAATTAGCGGCGTCGGCAGCAGTAACTGCCGTTGAGGAGACACCGCTCTGTGAGACTGCCTGGTGGGTTCTGCCTCACCACACGCTTGGAGCACCGAGGACAAGCGGAATTCCCTGCCAGAGGCTGTCCAGTGTGGTCACCTCAGTAGATGTGCTCTGAGTGAGGACAGTCTAGCAGGTCCGGTGGCCACAGGGTTATGGTTCCAGCTGTTTCAGGAACAGAGGCATGAAGGTCACAAGTCCAAAACCTGACTGAGCTATGCAGTGAGTTCCTCTCTTGAAATTAGAAGAGGAAGAGGAGGAGGAAGCAGAAAAGGAAGAAAAGAGAGGAGGAGGAGGAGGAGGAGGAGGAGGAAGAGGAGGAGGAGGAGGAGGAGGAGGAGGAGGAGGAGGAGGAGGAGGAGGAGGACAGAGGTCAGGGTTAGAGCGCTTGCTTAGCATGCACAAGGCCTGGGTTCATGCCTAATGGTACTTGGAACAGGTGAGCCTGGCATCTGGGACTTGTGAATCCTGCCATGAACATGTGTGTCTGAAAGCCAATGATGTCCTTCACCCAAGGACTCAATAGACAGAGACATCCAGCCTACCCTGGAGCTGGCCAGGTCTGGAACTGAGGAATGGATGTTTCTAACAAGCTCCTTAGTGTACAGCTACAGGTGTGGGGCCAGCCTGAAATGCAAGCCCTGTCCTCTCTGGCTCCCAGCAGGTTTAAAAGACAACCCAGGAGCAGGGAGACAAGCCTCAGATTCTGTCTTTCATGGGAATACATATCTCCTCCAACCCACTGCACGCTCCAGCTAAACACAGGCAAAGGGGATGCCACTCCACAAGATTCAGGGCCCCGGAAGTGAGAGCTGGCATTTGGGGGGCTGAGGGAGGGGCATGGCTGTGAGTGCAACTGAGTTCCAAATCAGCTGGGACTACAACATGTAAAGATGTCCATCCACAAGCCAGGCGGTGGTGGCGCATGCCTTTAATCCCAGCACTCGGGAGGGAGAGCCAAGTGGATCCCTGTGAGTTCAAGGCCAGCCTGGTCTACAGAGCAAGATCCAGGACAGGCACCAAAACTACACAGAGAAACCCTGTCTCAAAAAAACAAACAAACAAAAAAAAGATGTCTGTCCACAGAGTGGATGCTCAGGCTGTCTGTCCATGGAGTTCTAATCCACAGAGGAACTGCTCAGGCTGTCCATGACTTGACCCATGCCTGGAGCTCAGCAAAAGGGGACTCCACCAAGCTAGTGAGTCGTGACAGGGAGCACATCACTGGTCTCTTAACCCACTCAGTGCTCAGTCTGTTACACAAAACACACAGCCTCAGTCATCCCCCACCAATAACAGATGTCTCAATCCACGTCAGGGATGAACTCTGCTTTATCTTGTCAGTTTGACAGGTGGAAGGATGTATTAATTTAATTTGCATTTTTGATTCATAGACGATGTCTACATGTTTATGGATGTTTAGCACTTATTGTGGTATGACCTGTCGATGCATGTTCTTTTCTCGTTATGGAAAGAAGTTACTGATTTACAAAATCTCTTTATATAGGGGCTAGCAACCCTTTGTGAGATTTCTTTTGAATCCTGTTGCTTAGCACAAAGCTGTGGGTTCCACCCCAGCACCAGATGAATTTAAAAATAAGAAACCCCTTAGCTATAGTTCATTAAGGAGCTATACGGACTCCTTTTTGTGGTTTCTACTTCTAACTCCACAACAAAGGACAAGACCTTTGCCTCTTACCCTTCGTCCCCCACTTTTCCATATCAGTAGATATAGCGGTGAACACAGATGCTCCTAACAGGTGCCTCTGTATAAAAGCCTAACCCAACCCCAACGTCTCTCACTCTTCTCCCTCAGAAAGGAAAGACAGTGGCCCTGGACCCCTCTCAGCCCCCGAAGGACACACTGCGGCCCTGGCCCCAACATCAGAGCTCCAGCGGGCTGAGGAGGCAGAAGCGTGACTGGGTCATCCCGCCCATCAACGTGCCCGAGAACTCCCGTGGGCCCTTCCCCCAACAGCTTGTCAGGGTAAGTGGGCCCCGGCTGTTCTTAAGGCTGGTCTGGACACTCCAGAACCAGAGCAGATTCTGGGGTGTGGGAAGCACTATCCAGTAGGAAAAAATGTGGCAAAATGTGGAGCCAAAGCCACTCTGTGAGAGTGCACTTCCTCCGGGTCAACAGGCCTCTCAGGTTGCAGCGACTCCTCTTCAGGATTATTTGCAGATCCTTGTCCTGTCTGTGGAAGTTGGTGTGGCTCAAGTAGTGTCCTTTGGCCTCTGACACCTGTCTGTGACCTGACTGTGTTTTCCCCTGTGCAGCACTTACACATCTGTGACGATGGTCATATGATGAGCTGCAGGGACATGATCATGGAAAGGTCCTATGAAAATGACCGTGCTGGGGCATTGCAAGAGTCTCGGGAGCCCGGAGTATGCAGGAAGAGGCATCTGATCTCAGGCCTGCTCCTGTCCCTTTCCATGTAGAGCAGAGTTGTGTGTTTAGTGTGCAGATACCATCAGAGCCCCTCCCAGCTCTTTGTCACTGCTGTCAGCCCCACGGGGTTTCCTAGTGCATCCAAGAGTGGCAAGGGATTTATGGTAGAAACCCTGACATTGGTGCATGCAGCACCCAGGGAAACTCGGTGGCAATGTCCCCTGCCCCTGTGTACACTCTCAGCACAAGCTGGTGTGAGGCTTCCTGGAACAGCCTGTGAGTCAGAGCCTGGAGGGGGGTATTGCGGGGGGGACCCCATTGTGGGACCTCGGCCCCTAAGATCATGCTGATGGCAGCCCTGTGGTCCTCATTCTGTGTGTAAGCCTCAGCCCTTCCCAGTGGTGGCTGCGTCTGGTGATCACTGTGTTGTCATTTACTGAAAGGTTTTCTCTGAGTCTTTCATTTTTTTTTTTTTTTTTTTTTTTTTTTTTTTTTTTTTTTTTTTTTTTTTTTTGGTTTTTTCGAGACAGGGTTTCTCTGTGTAGCTTTGCGCCTTTCCTGGAACTCGCTTTGGAGACCAGGCTGGCCTCGAACTCACAGAGATCCGCCTGGCTCTGCCTCCCAAGTGCTGGGATTAAAGGCGTGCGCCACCACCGCCCGGCGAGTCTTTCATTTTTAATATAAATCAATTTGTTCTGAAAGGAGTTTCATCCAGCCATGCCTCAACACTGTCACGTGGAAGGTGGCTATGAACATGGTGTCTGTCAACACAGAAAACAGCCCAAAACATCCGATCCGCCCTGGGCCTCCATGGTAACAGCAGTGTATCTGAGAGATGCACCAGGGCACAGCAGACCTTCCTGAGCATCATCAAGTGCAAAGGAAGATAAAAATGGGAAGAGGGAGGTGCCTGAGCCACCCAGTCCAGTCTTTCTCGTCCTCAGAGCTGGCTCACTTTTCTGAGACAGGCCAGTGTACAAATCTCAAAGGCTCTCTACGACACAGGTGTGAACTGAGCGGGCCCCAGGCAGCATATGAACAGCGGATGTAGCTGTGTGCCTATCAAACCAAATTCTTGAAAATAAGTAGCAAGCAGAACCTAGATTGACAACTCCCAATCAGTCATCCCCAGCCTTCAGGAAGGTCTTCTCTCGGTCATTCTCATGGGCAGTGAGTGAGGAGTGAGTGAGTGAGGAGTGAATGACAGAGGAGCTGAGGACTCGTCTGCTCACATCCAGATTTGTTCAGGAACAGGGAGTGAGGACGGCTCAGCAGCCTGCAGCATCTCTAAGTCCTTGGTCTTTGTCCTTCACCCCTGTGTGTAGACTGACAGGGAAAACCTAACAAGACTACAGATGTCCTTATGGGCAGAGCCGTGCCCCAGAAAGTGCTACCTGTCACCCTGGAGAATCTGCTGTCCTCTGCTGAGCCTAGAGGAAAAGACACTTGGAATGCTTGAGACCCACATGGATGTGTCAGTCAGGGATGGCCAGCCACGGTTGGAGCTGAGGGAACGGCCACTTTGTCCAACCAGCAGAGGCCTGGGTCCACTAACAGCTGGAGACCTTTCTTCTCAAGGCATGACGATTAGGGCTGAGCTCACAGAGTGTCTGAAAGCGCTGCATGTGTGTGGATTTCCCATAGGGCATTTCCTCTCCTGGTCACACAGACATAGGGAAGTGTGGCTGGAAGCAGCAGCATGCAGCAGAAGCTGCCAGCTGGGCAGTGCCAGCTGGTAAGACTTGGAAGCTGAGTTCCTAACCTGTGAGGAGAATAAAGGAACCATGGTTTGGCTGTACACACAGCACCTGCCTCATATACACAGCCCACGCCATACGTGCATGCATACACACATGAACACACAGCAACCCACTTCATATATACACACATGCACACATACAGAAACCTAATTCATAATACCATCCTACTTCCTACATATGTATATAGACATGCACACACCACCCACTTTGTACACGTGTGTATGCACACCAGTCCACTACATGCATCCATGCACTCCCACGCAGTCAGTCCATTTACACAGCCACACCGCATCGCACTCTTGTTTTCTGTTCCTGACTCTCACAGGGTGCAGACAGAGACTCTGCGGTGTTTTATCCACAGGAAGCCCATGAGTTTCCTGTCAGTGTTCCAGGGCAATGCTCCAAAAGCCCACATCAGAGCGTGAATGCAGCTTGATGGGCGGGCAGCAGAGCTGGCACACTCAGAGGTTCGGCTGGGATTAGCTAGTTCCGTGCTCATTAAGGCATTTCATTCTGATAAAATATGTTAAATGAAAACGTGGGTGGAAGAAGAGGCAGAATGTGCTTCCCAAACCCCAGTTAATTGCAGGCGTTTTCCTTGGAAGGAAGAGTGTCTCTTCAAAAGTGCCCGCACTACCACATAGGGGACAAATCACTTCTGCAGTCACGAAAGCCTGGTGAGACTGTGGAGCTAGAAGCCATGCATGTGCACAGTATGAGCTAAGTCACACCAGTCCGTGGTGGAGTGTGGGCTGAGCCACACAGGTCCATGGTGAAATGTGGGCTGAGCCACACAGGTCCATGGCAAAGCATGTGGAGCCATGGTGGAGCGTGACTCCCATCAACTGGGCTGCTGAGCCTTGGAGGCTTATAGCAAAGTGTGGCATGATCTCACTGGTTCCACCGTGTGGAGCTAGCCCATAGTCTTAGTTCAGTGTGCATGAAGAGTGGCAGTGGCCTTGGGGAGACATTACCCATAAGTCCCAGCCATCTTTTATTCTCAGGTGGAGGATGTGTGGTTTATAACAACGTGTACTCAGAAGCCATGTGTATGTGCCTGGGTTCCAAGTTTGGCTCTGTTGAGAGGTGGTGCGCTCTTTAAGAGATGGAGGGCAGGGAGACATAGGTGGCCTTTGAAGGGCACAGTGTCAAAGGTGACACTAGCATCGTCCATACCACACTGGGCTATGAGTGAACTAAAGGGATTATATTGCTAGCAATCCACAGAACCTGCTTAATGAGCAAAGGAATTTATTTAGGGGTTAACTCACAAGACAGAATAAAGGAATCTGTTGCAGGATCCTGGAAGGATGAGACATGGTCCAACACAGTTCTCTGGTAAGCTCTGCACTGGTCTGTACCAGCATCCAAAACCACAAGGTAGTGAAGAGAGTGTATGTGCATCATAGGTTGTAGCCGGATGGCTTCTCTGGTCTTGCCCAGCCCCAAGGTCCCACAGCCACTTATAAAATAATCATTCAAAGGCTTATATTAATTACCAATTGCATGGCCTATGGCAGGCTTCTTGCTAGCTAGCTCTTATAACTTAACCCATTTCTATTAATCTATAAGTTGCCACGTGGCCATGGCTTACCAGTACTTTCACATCTTGCTTCTCCTGCGGTGCTGGTGTCTCTCTCCCCTCTGCCTTTCTCCTTCTTGTCTCTCCTGTTGGAATGTACCGCCTAACCTTATTCTGCCTCACCATTGGCCAAACAGCTTTATTTATCAACCAATCAGAGCAACACATATTCACAGAGTACAGAAAGACATCCCACATCACTTCCCCTTTTCTGTCTAATCAAAAATGAAGGTTTTAACTTTAACATAGTGAGATTATATATAACAAAACAGTTATCAAGCAAGAATTACAGTTATAATATCTAGTCTATTTATATTTGGCAACTTAAAGAAAATATTCTATCTATCCTATATTTGTGAATCTAAAGTTTTATATCTAATTAATCTTTTATCATAACCAAGGAGAATTATAACTATAACTACCTAGTCTTCAACTACATCAAAGACTCCAGAAAGATATAATATTACCTAAGTAAACAGGAAGAGCATTGTAAGCAACTTCTAAAAGTCTAGAATGACAGAGACAGCTGGCTGCCTGGACAGTCATCCAAAGTTCCTCTGCAAACTTGGGGCATCCATCTTCAGCCCACAGACCTAGAGTCTCTCAGTCTCTTTTCTCCATGTCCTGTAGAATGTCTGGCAGTCTCTGCAAAGGAGGAACCTGAAGGACGATTTCACCTTGCAAAGTTCAGTGGTCACCTTCCTATGGGTCCTGCATATCCAGTTTACACAACATATTATCAGCAGTCCAGGCAGGAACAACTTCTCACCCAAATGGCTATTTTTGTCAAGAAGAAGATAAACTCCATATGGAGTGTCTTCGACACTCATCTTCCTCTTTGAAGTAAATCAGTGCTGCCAGGAGCAGACGTGTCTCACTGTCCAGGAAAGTCTAAGTTTTTTTATAGTATTTTTATTTTATAATTAACTTAATTTCACATATCAGCCATGGATTCCCCCATCCTCCCTCCTCCCACCCCCAGCCCTCCCCCCCAATCCACCCCCCACTCCCACCTCCTCCAAGGCAAGATCTCCCCTGGGGAGTCAGCCCAGCCTGGCAGACTCAGCCAAATGCCATATTCTGTAGGTCTTTGAAGTATTTGAAGATTACCTACTAATTGAAATACATATGTATACCTAGAAAACTTAACTAACATGACTATAAATATGATTATCATGGATGACTAACTATTAATCTGTATTTCTTAATTATACATTACAATTTCAAGTGAGGTGCACAAACAAAATACCTTA